AGCCCCACGTCCGCGAGAACAACGTCCACGCCCAAGTGTCTCGCACGAGCGTCCGTGCATTGTGCCCATGCGCAGTGCAAGTATTCTTGTTGGTGCACGTGCAACCTGACCGTGCTCGCACTGATCAAAGTCGGTCACCGATGCTGCTGGGGATGCCATAACAGCCCGTAGGGGCGGGCAACAAAAAGAACTGACCGAGTCGGGTCGCCAGTGCGCAGGCATAGGATGTTCCATCCAGCATGAGGTACCGACGGTGAGGTGCACGGCGAACAGTTCGATCATCGCCCCTAGTAGTTCATTTCCAACACGTAACTGCTCCATTTGTCGGGGAGTGACGGCCAGCAAACCCCAGAAATCAGCGTGGGGCCGAAGGGGGGGGGCCTGCATCAGGGGCCCAACGGATAGCGGCCCACGTCTCACAGGGTGGCCCGCCGCCTGACAAGACAACTCGCCTGGCTCGTATATGCTCCTTCCATACCTCCAGCGTTTCGCGTCGCATCATGTTACCTAGTACTGGGTCGATCGCTATATCGATGGATAAAACCGAAATGGTGAAGTCGGTATGATACTCGGTCCATTCGAGGCAGGCCTGGATGTCACCAGGCCGTCGTCGGCCACAGTACAGGTTAAGCACGAAATATTCCGACCGTCGGATAGCAATGGGCAAATCCTGAGCAGCAATGTCGGTAAACTGCTCGGTCAAGAACATTCGCGTCGGGTAGCGCTCGTGGTAAACCGGTGGTGGTTGGACTGGCTCAGGGGCATCTCCTTCGGCCACAGCGGGCCGTGGTGGTGGTAGGAGTGCGGCGCACGCCTCTGGAGTGAGATACGGGTCACTTTCCAAGAGGGCTCGGCGGGCATCTTCCTGAGACACCAACGCGGCAAGGTTGGACGCAATCTCGGTGATGGGGCCCGGCGTCCGAACTGTGGGTACGACAACGTGGCGACGAGGGATGTGGACGTTGGTGGTATGTCCACGTGGTAGTATCGGTTGGGCAGGTAGCTGTAGGTGGTAGGCTGGATTGTCCATAGTCAGCACAGCAGCCAGTAAGCAGCGAGGCGAATCGATCGACAGATGATCCACTAAATGTGGCCGTGCATTGTACCTGAGCAGACATGTTTGACATACCCCTGACGGGTTGGCATAGCCACGTGCAAGTGTAGTTAGTTGCCTATGTACGCGAGCCACGCGTGTGCGCAGCGCCCGATGCCGTGCAAAAGACTGCCCACACCAAGGGCAGTCCATACTATGTGCTGGGGCAGGCGGTGGCTGCTGTATAATAAATCCACGTTCATCGGTGTATACCCGGGGGGGCACTCCCGCAGGGCGTACTTCATCAAAGAACCGGGACTCCATGTGGGCTGCAAGTGTGTTGCGCGTCGTGTACTGTGTATATGCATGCACTCCGATGCGAATGATGCGCTTCCAGGCGGGTAGGCTGCGTCGTACGAGGTCCCCCCACGGTTGTAGGTCCTCCTTGGGCGGGGGTAAATCCTGACATTGTCTAGTGGCAAGGCGCAACCACTCAAGATCATGCAACCATTGTCCAAGGGTCGTGCGACGTCGTTTCATGTCGGTGGCGGCTGCATGCCACTCAGCTGCCACAATCGAAAAGGCCAGCAAGGGTCCTGTATGAAAAAGTGAACCCAATAGCCGGAGTCGTGCAGCACGTAGTAGGATAGCAGGGGCCGGCCTGCGTAACCTAGCAAGCACCAGAGCGTCGGACACCTGAGACGCGTCCTCGCAATACCGAACACGGGCAGCTGCGCGATATACCTTCATAGTCTCACCGTGGGCCAGCTTAGCTTCGGCGTCTGAAAGTACGGGCCACGCGCCAGCGTTGTATAGTCGTCCGGACAGAACTAGACTGTCTGCGAGCACGAGCCTATGGGCGAGGTCAAGTTCGTCCGTTGCAAAAACGCGGCGACGAAGTACCTGTAGTGACGAGACAGTGGTAGCCGCACGGTAGCGAATCTCGGGCGCCATAGCGGTGCCTGCATCGAATACGGAACCCAGATGCACGTAATTATGTACGATCGGCGCACGAAGCGGTCCAAGTACATCCGATACGCCACATATGTGCCCATCATGCTCGTGCCATGCCGCATGCCGCGCACGCTCGGTACCGTGTCCACGCCACATAATGAGTGCTGCAGTTTTGGAGGGTCCGAGGTTCAAAATGTGTCCACACCGTGCAAATGCGTCTGAGACAATGACCAGGCAACTGGACAGGGCCCCGTAAATCTGGTCAGCGGGCATGATGAGGATCACGGTGCCGTCATCTGCATATGAGATATCGACCAAGGGGAGCTCTGCGGGGGGCCTGTCATCGGGGTCCTCGGCGTTGAGTGCTGTGAGGGATCTCTGGGTGGCCATCGGGAGCATGTAGGGATAGCCAGCGGTCAGAAGCTTTTCACGCACCTCCTGCATACACTCAGCCATCTGCATCTCGAAGAGCACATCAGGGAGAGGTTGGCCGGGGAAGAAGGAACGTTGAGGGAGCGAAACCTGTCCTGATCCTTCACACACGAACCAGGGTGCCTGATAGCACTGCTCGACCTGGGCGACGGTGTGGGGGTCGACGTCGGATCGGGTGAGAGCCGCAGCTCTCTGTCGGAGTCGGTCGGTTAGCTGCTGCATGGCCGAGGGCGGTAAGCCTGCCGCACGAACAATGGCGGCAACCGATATGTCGTCGAGGTCGGATTCGCGATGGGCACGCACCACGAGTTCACGAATGGCCCTGTAGAAGGCCTGTGCGACGTCCAGAAAGAGAGCACCAAATGATTGACGTCGGATCTTGGCCAGCGACTGTGCAACCCGCAACACCAAAGACGCATGCGTGGTCCCCCGGCCTGGCAACCCACCGAACTGTGTTTCCCCCGCCTCAGAGGCCAAAAATGGGAGTAGTCGGGACCGAAGGCATCGGCGAGACGCCTTGCCGAGTTGTGACGAGACCAATATGGACCTGGAACTGGAGCACTTCGTCGGGTCGGCTTGCCCAGACTTGATAAGGTCCCGATAAAAACCACCTTTCCATTGAATCGGCTCTACCAGTGTAAGGGCAAACTTGAGCTGTAGAGGGTAGTAGTACTCGGCGATCAATGTCGGGTGGGCCTTCAAGAGGCCGCCCGCAATGCCATCGCATCCTGGGGCAGACCGTCGCGCCTGTCGGCACGAAAACTGGAACTCGGCGAGGGTGGGTATAGCAGACAAGTTGACAGGCTCGGCAGACATACGCGCATAGGGGGTACGCCCAAAGTGTCCTGCGAACGTAGGCACGTCTGTAACGGGCAACGTAGCTGCGTGTTCGAGTCCTGCGAAGTGCTGCTGCCAACGCTGTGCAACCTGTCGTTCCGAGTCGATCGACTGACCTGCAAGATCCTGTAACGCAGGAAGGACTCGCTCGAATCGACGTCTCTTAGACCCTGCACCGATCCGACGCAGAGCGGCATATGCCTCGGCAAACTGACGTCGGTCCCAAGCTGTGCGCACCCCTCTGGCGATGTTGGCACAGTGCCAGGCCGAGTCTTGTCCCGTGGATGTCTGTATGACGTACGCGGCCCCCCGAAGAAAGACCAGATTGAGTGCCCAAAAAACTCCGGACCACGCCAGGTAGAACCGCAACATCATATCCAGGTCATACCGTAGGTCCCTGGGGGCCTCAGCCAGCTCGTGCAACGTGGGGAGACGCCCAACGTAGCGCAAACCGACGACATGGTCGGTCGTAAACGGGGGTAGGCTGATTTTCCCGCTGGGCGACTGTAGTGGGACCATGAAAGCCTTCGTCGCATCCAGTACGCTGTCAGTCGCCTGCGCAATCCTACGGCAGCACTGTAGTAGGAGTAGGTGGGAGGGCCCGTCGCGATATGAGAACCTCCAGCAGTGTATCCTGTGACAGAACCATTCTCCCGCAGAGGCCCCGTCCGAGGCCCAAGCCACAAAGGCAGTAGCAAGCAGCAGACGCGGCAAACTGGACCGTAGGTATCGTAGTGCACGACGGCCATGCATGCGTTGATCCATGAGGTCCAGAGAGCCCTGGGAGATCCAGCTATGTTGTGGCGTGCGGCCGGACGATGACGCTTTAGGCGGGAAGGCTAGCTCAGCCGCCGCAAGCAAGGCCGCATTCAAATGTGCTGCATGGTCGTCCGGGTGCATGGTGAAGGGGGGCTGGGGTACCATCTGGAGGGCCTGTGCAAAGGCCTGCTGACAGTCAGGGTCGTCATACTTCGATATGTCGTGTCGAGACCGAGGCCATACCAAGGCAGGTTCGTACCGATCGGCATGGCACACACGCATGTAAGCAGTGACCACGAAGTGATCGTCCCGACGTAGCGACAGATCGAGATCGACATCGACACCCTGATGCACCACACTGTTGATCTGTCCGATGGGGGTGGTAATGTAGTCGATGCGACGTCTAGGTGCTTGACCCTGGGCCCCAGGCGGTAACCATGTGCCGTGTACCCCAGAGTACGACGGCAAAAAAGTAGATACTGCACACTGCTCGGTATCCCGAAGAAACTTATGGAAGCACATTCCATTGAAGTTTTCAACCTCGGGCGCCACATCACCCACTGAGTCTGACACTTGTGAGCCCACCGTGGCATTCGCATCAAGCAGGCAATACAACGGCGCTGGCTGAACCCGAGCAGCGAGGGAGGGAGGGAGGAGGAGGGAGGGAGGGAGGGAGGGAGGGAGGGAGGGAGGGAGGGAGGAGGGAGGGAGGGGAGGGGAGGGGGGAGGGAGGGAGGGAGGAGGGAGGAGGGAGGAGGGAGGGAGGGGGAGGGAGGGAGGGAGGAGGGGGAGGAGGAGGAGGAGGAGGAGAGGAGGAGGAGGAGGGAGGAGGAGAGAGGGAGGGAGGGAGGGAGGGAGGGAGGGAGGGAGGAGGGGGAGAAAGGGAGGGAGGGAGGGAGGAGAGACCTCCGACGCCGTCGCGCTGCCCGCAGCGTGGTCGGCGTGGCCTCTCTCCGCAGCGGGGGGGGGGACCGCCGCCGCGGTCCTGCCCGTCGGGGGCCACGTGGTGGAGCTTCATGCCGGGGTAGGCGCCGTCGGGCACGCGGATCGTGAACATGAGCGGCTGCGGCTCCTCGCGCGACCCACCGCTACTACAAAGGCGACTGCGAATAATGCGACTCCCATCACCACCACTCCTTCTACCATCACGATTCTCGTTGATGCGAAATCATGGTGGTGATTCCGTTTCCAAATTTGTGCCTCCCCCGGGGGCGGGGGGGGGCGGCGCCGTCGACCCCGGGAGGGAGGGGAGGCGGGAGGTTCATGTTCGAGGAGGAGGGAGGGAGGAAGGAGGGAGGGGGGGAGGGGGAGGGAGGGAGGAGGGGGGGAGGCGGGGGGGCGGGGAGGAGGGAGGGACGGAGGGAGGGAGGAGGGAGGGAGGGGGAGGGAGGGAGGGAGGGAGTTTTGAGGATCTCGAAATTCGAGATGCGAAGTTTTCTCGGACGTTTCCGTCCACTCATCGGTTCTCCAGCCTCGGGACGCGCTCCGGCAACCGCGCCTCGCCGAGGGCGTTCCCGGGGGCGCCTGGATCGTCCCGAACGGCCGCCGCCGACTAGAGGTTGGACTCAAAAACCAAACCTCCTCTCTTGTAGTCACGACGTCGGGGATCTGGGGAGAGGGAGAGGAGCTGGGGAGGGGGAGGGGGCAGGCTAGGTGCGCTCACGCCATAACTGACATCCCACCAGGTATAGGAGGGGGAGGGGAGCGGGCCAGCCCAGTTTGCGAGGCTGCTCAACTCTCTCTCTCTCTCTCTCTCTATCTCTCTCTCTCTCTCTCCCTCTCTGTCTATCCATCTCTCTCTGTCTATCTCTCCATATGTGTATATATATATATATGTACATGTATATATGTATATAAATATATGGATTACTCTCTCCTTCTCTCTGTATCTGTAGAGAGCCAGATCGGTAGACAGACTGACAAACAAGACAGGACAGGACAGGGCAGGGCAGGACAGGACAAACAGATACTCCGTACCCCTCTGTCTCACTGCGTCTCTCTCTCTCTCTCTCTGCTTCTCGCTCGCTCTCTCCCTCTCTCTCTCTCTCCCTCTCCCGCTGCCGACGCCACTGCACCTCTGTCTCCCTCCTGAGCACCGCCTGGCGGCGAGGTGCGCAACGCGCGGGCGGAGCCGCGAGCGCACGACGCCCTCCCCGCGGGAGACGAGCGCACCGACGAGGGGGCGGGCCGTGGGGGGGGGGGCACCGCCGCGCCCGGCTCCGGCCGGCGCCAGCCAACGCCAGCAAATCGAGCTCCTCCTGCTCCTCCTGCTCCTCCTGCTCCTCCTCCTCCTCCTCCTCCTCCTCCTCCTTCATCCGACTCCCGGCCCCAGCCTGCGGATCGAACCGCACCCGATGGGCGGCCCTGCACAAGCGGGCGCTGAGGGGAAACGTTGGGGGGGGCAGCTCAGGTGGGGAAACACCGACCTGTAATCGGCGATACGTCGCCGATAGATCGGCGCTAGGCCCCTGATAGGTTTTACGGCGCGTTCCTGGGCGGGGTGGGCTATCGGGAACGTGTCGGCGATCAATGGGCCACTGGGAGGAGACCCATCCTCCCCCTCAGCCTAAGTACTATCCCCGCAAAGTTGCTTCTTGGTTTCGGGTCATATCTCGGCTTTCCAGCGGCCGTTCGGAGCGATCCAGGCGTCCCTGGAACGCTCTCGGCGAGGCGCAGCCGCTGTAAGCCATCCCGCGGGAAGCAAACCTCTCGGGACCCATGAAACCGTCTGAAAACCTAGAACTCCAACGTCGTGATGTTTTTGACGACCAGAAGAGGTTTGGGTCTCTGGCGGCCGTTCGAGACGACCTCAGGCGAGGCGCAGCTGCGAAAGGGATCCCGAGCCTGGACAACCAACGGGAACGGCCAGAAACGTCCGAAAACCTCGCATCTCGAACCTCGAACGCCTCGATTCCGTCATTGAATCCTTGAGTCCTCGTCGCGCGCTTCGAGAAAAGGACCCGCGGCCGCCCTCGGCCGCGCCGCCGCTGCCGCGCGCGCCCGCCAGCTGCACGCAGGAGTGGGCCCTATAGATCCTTATGGAAAGGAATGCCCTTTGGTGTGCGGCTTTTATCGGGGATGGACAGACCCCCCTTTAGTAAAACGTGGTTTAGTGAAAACAACCTGAGGCCCAAACCTGGCGGGCGCAAGCCTGGAAAATAACGGCTACGGCGCCCTCTCGAGAACCGAAAACGGACAATTCACTAATCGACGTGTCACTGTTGGGGGTTCTGTCCACCCCCGATTTTATGGAGCGCGGAAAAACATACGAATACTATGTGCTAATGTTGGAGGCGCGCGTCCGACACGAACGCGCACCACAAATATTATCACACAAGCAGACCTGGGTCAGAATCACACCCTTCAAGAACATGAGACCCTCCGCCGGCCAAAGCACACAGAGCATCCAAGGGTACCCTCCTGAGGATGCACAAAGTATCCCAGTGCGACCCTACCTAGGAGTTGGAGCCCCTAGGAGAGCAGCACTAGTAGTAACAGTAAAGCTAAGCTACAGCTAAGCTAAAGCTAAGCTAAAGCTAAGCTAAAGCTAAGCTAAAGCTAAGCTAAAGCTAAGCTAAAGCTAAGCTAAAGTTAAGCTAAAGCTAAGCTAAAGCTAAGCTAGCAATAAGCTAAAGGTAAGCTAACTATAATATAAAGCTAAGCTATAAGCTAAAGCTAAGCTAAACATAAGCTAAGTATAAGCTAAAGCTAAGGTAACGCTAAGCTAAACCTAAGCTAAATATGTGCTACATCTAAGATACAGCTAAGCTGAAGCTAAGCTACAGTTAAGCTAACACTAAGCTAACGCTAAGCTAAATGTAAGCTAAAGCTAAGCCAAAGCTAAGCTAACATTAAGCTAAAGCTGGGCTGAAGTTAGGCTAAAGCTAAGCGACCGCTAAGTTAAATCTAAGCTGAAGCTAAGCGAAATCTAAGCTAAAGCTGCGGTAAAGCTAAGCTAAAGTTAAGCTAAATTTAAACTACATCTAAGATACAGCTAAGCTAAAGCTAAGCTAAAGCTAAGCTAAAGCTAAGCTAAAGCTAAGCTAAAGCTAAGCTAAAGCTAAGCTAACACTAAGCTAAAGCTAAGCTAAAGCTAAGCTAAAGCTAAGCTAAAGCTAAGCTAAAGCTAAGCTACATCTAAACTACAGTTAAGCTAAAACTAAGCTAACGCTAAGCTAAAGCTAAGCTAAAGCTAAGCTAACGCTAAGCCAACGCGAAGCTAAAGCTAAGCTAAAGCTAAAGTTAAAGCTAAAGCTAAAGCTAAAGCTCCCAGTGGACTGGGGGAACCGCTCCCAGGGGACAGGGGGAACCGCCCAGGGCGGGTTACACTGTCCGGCCCCTTGAAGCGAAGACAGTAAGAACCCTTCTAGGTAGAGCCTAGGTAGGGAAAAACATCCAACAGACACGAAGAACACCAGGGTGCCCTCCCCGAACCGACCTTGATCTTATAACTCAGTCCGTCTGCTGTTAAAGCGCGTACAGTGCGGCTAGCAGAACTACAGAACTCAGTACAGGCAAACGCGGAGCGCACAGTAGATCATTTCCCGAACGGAATGACCAGAAACCGCCCGCCACGGAGCTGATCCTGTAAGATGTCTGAGGGTGCGTGTCGCCCTCGTGGGGCCGACGCACACATAGCACAAGTATGCTTGGGTGGCGCCAGTTTCAAGGTTACGCGAAGGGACCAGATCGCAAGCGTGCAAGTAGCTCCTATCCACTGGCGGCTTATGGGTCATGAATCGGGCCTCCTGCGGCCGTTCGGGACGATCCACGCACCCCCGGAACGCTTTCCTCGAGGCGCGCCGCTGAAAGCATACCGAAGCTGGAGCGCCGCCCAGAATATCAACAACCTCCAACCTCGAAGCTGTCTCCCCCTTGGTCCTACCCCACCTCAGTGGCATACCCGAAAAGGGTCATGAGAAACTGGGTACGATGAACAGCCATGAATAAACGTTGTCCAATACCGACAGCGGCCGCTGTTGGGCAGGCAGGATTTTTGCCCCAAGTGGACAGCGTCTGCGGCGACGCGGACAGCGAGACCCTCCCAAAATGGACAGGAGCTGCTGTCGGTATTCGCCCCCATTCTTTCCAGACCCTTTTCGGCCGCACCGATGTGCTGAGCCAGCGCCCCGTGCTCCCTCCCTCTCCCAGAAAATCAAGGCGGAAAGCGGAGGCCCGTGCCGCCTCGGTCAACACCTCAAAACTCCTGGCCCACCATCTTGCCTCCCCCCATGGTGGCGTCTTCGCTACCACCCCTTTTACGTGAGTGCCCATTCCGATCCTGCGGACCCTGCCGTTGCCCCTGAGCCCGGCGACAGGCCGCTATCGCTGGGTGCATTGGGCCTGAGAGCTCGGACCTGCTGGCCTGGAGGAGGACGTTCCAAATTTTCTCACCCTCCTCTTCCTCCTCCTCCTCCTCCTCCGCCTCCGCCTCCGCCTCCTCCTCCTCCTCCTCGTCCTCCTCCTCCTCGTCCTCCTCCTCCTCCTCCTCCTCCTCCTCCCTGCCTCCCTCCCTCCCTCCCTGCCTCCCTCCCTCCTCCTCCTCCCTCCCTCCTCCCTCCCTCCCTCCTCCCTTTTCCCTCCTCCCTCCTCCCTCCCTCCTCCCTCCCCCCTCCCCCTCGTTCCCCTCCTCCCTCCCGCCCGCCCCTCCCTCTCGCCGCGGCCCCAGGGACTCCCAGAAAGGCCGGCAAACGCGAACGGGACCCCTAGGGCGGCCGGAAGGGCGATCCGATCGCACCCGCGCACCAATGACACCGCCGCCTTCGGCGAAGGGCCCCACCTGGTGGCAATGAATTAACATACTAACAAGAGGGGAAGGAGGAGCAGCAGCAGCACGAAAAAGGAATAGAGAGGGGGGGGACAACCGCGAAACACACGCGGGCGGAGAGGGGGGGAGGGGGTGAGGGGGGGCGGTGGCGGTCGCGGGGATCGTGGAGGTGGTGGCCGCAGTGATCGCAATGGTGTTCGTAATGATGGTCGTCAGGGTGGAGGTCATGCTGAAGTCGGCCGCGCTGGTTGTGATCGTGGCGGTCGCGCTGGTGGCGCTGGAGGTCGGAGTGGTCGTGCTGGTGGTGGTCGTGCTGGTGGTCGGTTTGCCGGCGGCCGGGGTGGTCGTACTGGCGGACGTACTAACTAGGGGTTTGTTGCGCTGGCGTTGAGCGTGCTGCTGGCAGTCGCGGCGAGCCGCGGGTCCTGCTCGAAGTCGGCGCCAGGGCTGCGCGCGAAGGCGGCCGCTTCCTCGGAGGGCAGCCCCCCCGGCCTCGAAGACCATGGGGATCAGCTCGAGCCCCTGTCGCGGAGGGCACCGCGTCCTCTCGCCGTCGACCTCAAGGGCTGCTGACAAGCCACACTGTGGGGCATGGCCTGCCTGCGCGGCGCACGGGTTGAGTGTGCGCAGGTCACGGTCCACTCAACAAAAATGTCGCGTCTGGCTTTGTGGTCGACGGTGGCAACGTCGAGCTTGGGGAGGCGACGATCCCACCCTGGCACGCGCTGCTCAGCGGGGGCAACATGCCCAGTGAGCGCTGTGCGTCGCTTGGAACGCCAGTCCCGCAGCCGCTTATGCCAGTCATTCTCAGACGCCCCCACTTCGCTCATCCTCGCGAGGCCTCTCTTGTCGGTCGAGCGTCTGGTTGCAGAGTTGCCCGATGTCCTTGTTTTTGTACTGGCAGCGGGCTCTCTCTGGGAAGACGGGCATGTCCAGCCGCATCTTCAGGTTCGTGGGGAAGTTTTGGTCTGGCTGCGTGGCGTCGCCGGCGTGCCGGGGCAGCAGGAAGGACCCCGCCCCAGCGACTCTGGCCGAGTGCAGCGAGGGGCGGCCGTCCCCGTCCAGCCGCGTGTCCTGGAAGCGCTGCTTCCAGGCGGCCGTTTTCCCCCAGAGCCCCTGCGGGCTGTGCTGCGGCTCACGCATGTAGTCGAGCAGGTCGTCCTCCGAGTGCGCCCGGGTCTCGGAGCGCCTCCAGCTCTGCCTGGGCGACAGGCTGGAGGGCACGCGGGCAGCGGGCGCGAAGCTCCTCCAGGGTGCTGACCCCTAGGCAGGTGGACACGTGGTGAAAGCACAAGGCCCAACTGGCTCCGCACGCGGCCGGGGGGGGGGGGGTGAGCGGCGGAAGGGAAGGCGCACCCTCCGTCGGAAAGGCGCAGCGTGGCCCCGAGGCGCCGCGCATCGCCCAGGGATTCCGCGAGGAAGTCCTCGAGCGCAGCGAACAGCGCGTCGTCGATCTCCCGCGCCCAGCCCGTCTGCAAGTTCGCCCTGAGGTGGTACGTGACGCATCCCCGCCCGAACCTGCACAGGAGCGCGTGCGTTCTTTGACTCGGCCGAGAGACCGGCCGTTCTCAGTTCCCGCAGCCTCGCGGGGAAGGCGCGCGCGGCCCGCTGTCGCGGGGCCGTCGGCTCCACCGTGAACGAGGACCCTGTCATCTTGCTGGTCCAGCCAGGGCGCAGCGCTCCCGAGGCAGAGCAAGTCGTGAACCCAGAGGGCGGCAAGTCTGTCTGACGGCGAGCCCCGCGGTGGGCTGCCCAGGCCCAGGCTTGCGTCTTGGCGAGGTTGACCGTCAGGCCGAGGCGAGTGAGCTCTTCGGGACCAGCTGCGCCGCCGCGGCGGCATGCGACGGCGGTGCGTAGACCATGTTGGCCTCCAGGTAGGAGAGCACCCGGCACTCCGGCGACAGCTGCTGGATCCTCTTGTGGATCTCGCCCAAGGCCCCCGCGGCGGTAATCGCGAACAGGACCGAGGACAGCGGGCACCCTACGTTCACCCCGCTTGTCGCCCACACTGGCTCAGCGCAGTCGGTGTCGCCCCAGAACATGTGGGTCGTTTCCCCTCCTATCCAGCAGCGCGCCGTCCAGAGTAACGCGGGCGCCCGGGCGCGAAGGCTGCTCACGATGTGGTGCCGAAGCAGGTTGTTGAAAGCGCTGCTGCAATCGAAGGTGATCACCACGTCCTGGAGGCTCGCCTCTGTGAGCGCCGAAGTGCACTTGTGCATCACTTCGCAGTCTCCTGGTCTTCCCTTTGCGTACTGGTGTGGCCCGCCCTCGGCATTGGCGGCGAGGCGACGCAGCGCGCTCCCGCAAGCGATCGACCAGAGGCCCCCGTTGCGTTTGCCGAAAGCCACCAGGCGCGTGCTAAGTAAGGTTGGCTCGCATGGCCTCGAGGATAGCATCCCGCACAGGAAGAGGACCGTCACCTTGAAGACCGCGTCAAGAGCTCCTGGATATTTCAGGAGACTGCGCCAGCCAGCATTCAAAGAGGCCCCCTCTGGGCCCCAGCCCAAACTACCGCGGGCTCCGCCAGAGGTGGCTCGCGGTCAAGTCGTTGCCGGTGTCCTCGTCGGGGAGCTCTGGAGGTCGGCTGCGCTGGGCGGGGCGGCTCCCACGGGGAAGAGCGCCTGCAAGCCCGCCTGCAGCCCGGCCCCAGTGGCCACTGTGGCAGGCCGGAAGCCGCGGGTCATGGCCTTGCTGACCAAGCCCTCGCCGACCAGCGCCTCGACCGCCTCCGCGTCCTTCCCGGGGTGTCGGCGCGCCAATTCCGCCGTGGCGCGGTTCCGGCCCCTCCTCCTCCTCCTCCTCCTCCTCCTCCTCCTCCTCCTGCTCCTCCTCCTCCTCCTCTACTCGGATCTCGAAGTTTCATCCTCCCCTCTAGCCTGACCTCGGAGCAGGGTTAGTTGAAACAACGGCAGTTCAAAATCGGTCCCTGGATCGCTCTTGAGGTCCAAACACGCACCACTTTTCCGAGCTGCGTTCAGCCGTGGCGACGAGGGCCCCCCCCCCCAAGGACAGCTACCAGTCTCAACTCGCCCTCCACTGATCCCCCCCCAGAGATCCGATGTAAGGACTTGTTCCCTACGCGGCCCCCTGAAGTCCCGACCCTTTCCCCTGGGCCGGTTTTTCATCCCGAGTCGTCTTTTGACAGCCCCGGGGCCCAGCGAGGGCCCCTGGAGGCCGAAAACGGTGAAAGATCTTCGAGTTTCGGTCCCCGAGGTCCTGACCCTTTGCCCTGCAGGCCTGTTTCTCGTCCCGAGCCGTTGTTTGACGGTCCTGGGGCCGGGCGAGGCCCCCAGAGGCCGAAATGACGGCGATGACTGTGTCAATGCGTTAGAGGTCTGAGACCTGAGCCCGTCCCCCCTGGCGCTGCCCCCGAAGCTGAGCAGGGGCCGACCGTCCTGGAATTGCTATGGGCCTACAGCCGGACCTGAGACTTCTCCTCCTGCTCCTCCTCCTCCTCCTCCTCCTCCTCCTCCAACTCCTCCTCGTCCTCCTCCACCTCCTCCTCCTCGTCCTCACAGAAGAACATTTATTCAAGAACATGAGACTCTCCGCCGGCCAAACTGAACAACATTCTCTGGGCACCCTCCCCGAACCGGTCTCGATCTTATACCTCGGTTCGACCGTACCACTTAATGTTCTTAGGATCCATGTCCTAAGAACCGAAAACATGCTCTTCAGAGCATACAACCGGTTGATCAAACCAAGACTGACTTAGCCACACAAGTGCTCGAAAAACATCTCGTGCAAACCACAGGAGGCTCGTAGAAAAACCTCCGGTGGGCCCAGCAGATTCTTAGAGGCCCACCAGAGGATGCTCTTAGAGTAAGAAGGGCGAACGAGGACGCTTCGCCACTGAGTCTCTCCCCCCTGACTCGGGGATGGACAGAGCCCCCTTTAGTAAAACGTGGTTTAGTGAAAACGACCTGAGGCCCAAACCTGGCGGGCGCAAGCCTGGAAAATAACGCGCCGCGGCGACCTCTCGAGAACCGAACACGGACAATTCACTAATCGACGTGCCACTGTTGGGGGTTCTGTCCACCCCCGACTCTTAGAATAAGAAGGGCGAACGAGGACGCTTCGCCGAGGAGGAGGAGGAGGAGGAGGAAGAGGAGGAGGAGAAGGAGGACTAAGTCTCTCCCCCCCTGACGCTGCCCCATGGCTTCCGGGCCTCAGCTCGGCTCTCCGGCGGCCGCTCCTTCGGGCCGGCCCCTGGCAATCCCCGGGAGAAGGCCCTCGGCGAGGCTCGAGCCGCCAGAAGGCGCTCGGCGAGGCTCCTCCTCCTCCTCCTCCTCCTCCTCCTCCTCCTCCTCCTCCTCCTCCTCCTCCTCCTCCTCCTCATCGCTCCTCCTCCTCCTCCTCGACCCCCGAACCTCGCGATGCCCTCCTCGGGCTCCTCCTCCCCCTGCTCGCTGCCCCCGAGTGAGGGGCAACGACAGGGGGGGACTGGCGCAGGGAAAAAGGCATCGACCTGGAATCAGACCTCCGATCGTGACTCCGCACCTGCATGGGCAGGTCGGGGCTATCGGGCACCCATCGGCGATCAATGGGCGATGGGGGGGTCGATGCATCCCCCCCTGTGCCTACATCCCCCCCTGCTCGCTGCCCCCGAGGCCCCGAGCGCGGGGCGCAGCTCCTGCTCCTCCCGGCGCGGCTCCGGCGCGGCGCTCGGGGCCCCGGAGGCCACGGGCCCGCCCCCGTCCAGGGCCTCCTCCGCCACGCAGCGCCACACGCGCGTGGCGGGGTCCTCTCCGGCGGCGCGCCGCCACGCGCCGCCGCGCGCTGCCGCCGCAGCCGCTGCGGCGGTCGACGCCACGCGCCGCTGCCCCGTCGACGCCCGCAGTCGACGCCCGCGGGCCCGCTGCGGTCGCTGCCGCCGCAGCCGCAGCGCAGCGCCGCGCGCGCGCGCGGCGGGGTCCTCGCGGCGGCACGCGCCGCCACGCAGCGCCCAAGGGGGGCCCGGCCCAGGAGGGAGGGCGATTCGAGGCATTCGAGATGCGAGGCGCGGGTTCTCGAACGCTTCTAGCCAGCCTCGAACGTATCCCCATCCCTAAGACGGGCGATCAAAAAGCGAGGACAATCTTAGAGATAGGCCCTCAGAAACTGAGGGAATCCTTAAGATCGGCATCGAGGTGAGGTGATGTCAAACATAGGGATAGGGATATGTTTCAAACTGGTAAGCTTCCGCCCGTTCCCGCTGTTTTTCCAGCCGCGGGATGCCTTCTGGCAGCGGCGCCTCGCCAGGAGAGATCCAAGGGTGCCCGGATCGTCCTGAACAGCCGCCGGAGACCCGAGGTGCAACCCGAAAATCAAACCCCCGCTCGGCGTCGTAAAAAAAACACGACGGGACATTTCTTGCAATTCTGGCCCCCTGGGGGGCCCTCGCCGGGCCCGTGGGCCATCAGAAAACGGCCTGGTATGATTGTCCCAGTGGGGGGCCCGCAACTCTGGGGGTCGACGTTGCGAAGGAAGCACGACGTCGGTCGGAGTTCTGGGCGATCCTGCCTCCATGGGTCGCGAACGAGGCCAGACCTGACAGGCTGCCCTCTGGTGCGTCCCCCCCGCGAGGCGCAGCGATTCGCTTGCTGCAGCAGGAGGAGGAGGAGGAGGAGGAGGAGGAGGAAGAGGAGGAGGAGGAGGAGGAGGAGGAGGAGG